GCTGGTGCAATTACAGCTTGGGTGCATCAGCTCATGGAAGAATCAGAAAGAACATTTAAGGAAGAAAATTCCAGCATGTTGTCCGAAGTGTGAAGTAACAAAACTCAAAAGTCATGGGTCCTAACACATTTATTGCCGTATAAGCACTCATGGACCAGAGCTTTACTACAAGAGGAGCCCAAGAGGACTTGTCTCGGACATTTTCATATGGCAGACTTAAAGCAGTTTTTGTTTCGCTTTTCAATAGACATATGAAGTGTACATCAGACAAAATGTGCATCTGCATTTCAAACACCTCTATCTAGTTATCTCTTCCACATGAATAACAGCCACCTAACCAAAAAGTCAATTGCAGTTAAGGGTCAGCTAGAGAAAATATCTCTGCTTATTTAAATGCAGGGCACTGAAGCCATGTAATAATTCAGAGGCTGCATTCCAGATGATGCTATTGAGAAACCTCTGACAAATGTCTGATTTTTACCCAAGGCACAGAAACAGGTTAAAGAGGGAAGACATGAGACAAATGACAAAAGGAAAACAAGGACATTGTATCTCCTGGTCAACTCTAGGTCATTTGATGCATTATGTTAATCTCGTAAAGGTTAGGAGAAAACAGAGTTTGAGGACCATGTATCCCAAATTTAGTTATAATGTACTTCGGGCTCATACAGATGGAGCATTTGTTGAACTTTATGTAGACAGATTATAGTAATATCTCCCCACAATTCAGATGATGCAAGAATTAAACTGATATAAACCATGATAAAAAAAACGATATACTCACCAGACACACTTGTAAGCAGCCTTATCAAAGGAGCAGCGGTCCTTGAGATAGCTCGGACCCAAGCCATTTATAGTTTTATAGGTTACAGGCAACATCTATGCATGCTGGGTACCGGTGGTAGTCTTATACTTCGTGGGCTTTCCTTTTTAACACCTAGCTCCCACCAGCTGCACATACCTGAAGACACCTGGTCACTTGGGGACTCATTCTCACTGTTGTTCAGTGCTGCCATGAAAGCAGGTTTACTCCAGTATCGTTTCACCACCACTTTGAGAAGACTCCTGGCCGCAGTGAGCTTGAAGTCCTCTACAATGGACAAGAGGGAGAACACTTAATTCCCTCTTCTGTGCTTAGGAGTGTGCCCATCCCCTACTCACCTCCAGTTTTAATCCTGTCCCATCTCCAGGGCTCAAAATGGAATTAACCAAGATGGAGAATATGACAGTTTTTGGTTTGTTTGTTTTTACAAAAACCATGTTGCATAAAAGTATGGTTTATAGGTTAATCTTTTATAACAGTCACGGCAAGAACTGGAAAAATGTAAGTAAGCTGGAACATGACATTTCTATTAGGAAATGTCACAGAGTGTTTACTGAAGGGTACTTTTAAACTTTTATATTTTGTCTTGGGTCCTGGGGTAGAGATTGAAATAAGTGTAGTAGATGGGGAAGCAATTGGGAGAAAACCTTATCATTCTAGATTGAAAATATATTTCAGTGCCTCTGAATAAGAGTGTATTGAAAAGTGCATTAAACATATTTCAGCCAATTATTCCTGAAAAAAAATATAATCCATATATTTCTTTAGAAAGTTGCATTAAACATATTTCAGCCAATTATTCCAGAAAGAAAATATAATCCATATAGTTCTTTATATGGTTTCAAAATACTTTAGGAGGTATTCCATTTCTTTGCATCTGCTTTGCAGAAATGTAGCAATGGCTAGTCAGCGATATTCTCTTACTACAAAATGAATTTGTGATTAATACCTGAAGAACTCGACATGTGGTTTGAACATTCTTTTCCTTGTCATATTTGGCTCTTGGAAGAAAACACCATTCTCAATTAAAGATCAGATGTAGCTGGAGGAGGAGGATGGATCCAACAAACATCTTTGGCACAAAGAAGTGAGAGCACCCTCCCCATTTTTTTTCAATAGAGAGGCTAACGTATTAGGAAAACAAGTCTCTTCACAGCCTGTCAGCTTTAGTACCATGAATAATCATCATCCAGGGGACAGTCTTCCCCTGACCACTACCTTGATTGGGTAGGCATCCCCTTCACAAGACTCCCTACGCCTGTCAGCTTTAGTACCATGAATAATCATCATCCAGGGGACAGTCTTCCCCTGACCACTACCTTCATTGGGTAGACATCCCCTTCACAAGACTCCCTACTGTACTGACATATGCCCAGTGTCTCCTACAAGACAATCCTGAAGTATACCATACAACGAAATTCACATATGTACTGACATATGCCCAGATTTTTAAAGTGTCTCCTACAAGACAATCCTGTAGTATAAGGCATCTCTTGCCCTGAAGGGAAGGAAAGCCACGATGGTATAGAGTAGTGGTTCCCAACCTTGGGTCCATGGGGGTCCTTGGACTACATACACCTCCCAGGAAATGTGGTCAACACAGCTGCTGGTGAAGGCTTCTGGGAGTTTTAGTCCAAGAACATCTGGGGACCTAAGAACAGGAACCACTGGAATAGAGGAAACGCGATTTCTTTACAGGAGTGTCTTTCTCCCAAGAAGAGTATCGTCAACAGTCCTCACCAATAAAGGCATGTTTTTCATCCGCAGCTCCAAGACGGTAACACCGTGGGAAAAACGTATCAGCATCAGCCTCATCAAACCATGGCAGGTTTCGCAGATTCAGACACAGCCCTACCTGAGAAAAAGGGGAAATTTGTACAGCGTTTGGATTTCCACGTCCCAGTAACACTCTTCCTTTTGCCCACAAGCCCATCATTTTGTCCAGGGCCTGCAGGCTGCTGTATTTGGATTAATTTCCCCCAGTACATGATGCCATACTTAACACCATAGGGTGGCCCAGTCCTTTATGGAAGTGGATTTGGCCCACCTTGGTGGTAAAGGAGCCTGCCTTGGCAAAGTGATTCATCATCTGATCCTTGCGTAGGAAGCGGCAGTCAATGACGTCGCGCCGATTGGTCCAGATGAAGTAAGGGGTCTGGTTGCGAACCAACCGTGACTGCCAATGAAAGAGGCACAGCAGACATTGAAAGTGTAAACGCCGAGTGCAGGCGTCTTCAAACCGGTGTTTTGGAGAATCCGTGATCCCTCCCCACTGGCCATGTTGGCTGAGGCCCCAGTCCAAAAATCTAGAGTGCATCAGGAGGAGGAAAGTTGACCTAGTGCAAGAGCACAGAAGCTGGCAAATAATGGAGGAAGTACAGGAAAAATGCTGGGTGCAAGTCGTGGGAGGAGGTAAAACAAGGGCAGATGATGTTGAAGTGGAAGGATTCAAGAAGATCAAGCAGAAAATCTGACAGCAACAGAGGCATGTCACAATGTTGTTGTGAAGGTAAAATGTGAGGGAAGACCGTACAACTACTCCTAAAGCTTGTCTGCACACCCATTTTGTAGCTGGCTAAATAGGGTTGCTAGGACGCCCAGTATGCCATTGGGTGTGATCTTTCCATTCAAATTGCATGTGGAGCTGAAGCAATCCTGTTTCAGCAATGAGGGGGACTCTTGTTTGCTTTTTTAAAAAAGAGCAAGTCGGGGGGAAGCAAACAAAAATCCTCTTGCCCCTCCCCCCCGCCATTCTGCTTGCCGCTTTTAAAGAAGCCAAGTCAAGCCAAACGTGGTGTGCATATGTGTGCACAAACACAGCTTCCAAAAGCAGCCTCCTTGCATTGCTTCTACGGAGCCCAGGAAGTGTTTGATTTGCCTATATTTGCTCTCTTATCAAGCCACTTCACAACACTGGTTAAATTGAAAGAGGAAGCTGTCCTTGGGTCCTTTCCCAGTGATCACATGTGCTGGAGAAGAACCAAAGCAGACGGAAGTAGAAGCAGAATGGTGCAGACAGGAACGCTCTGGGGGGCAGGCTGGTGCACTCTAGCAAAGACAACGTCCGATCGCCATCTTTAAGAGTGCACCAGCCTGTGCCTGCGGCGCTCCAGACAGTCGGCTGAGCACCCATCCGATTGCACTCTGCTCTTCTTCTTAGTTCTTTAGAAAAAAAGGCAGAAGAAAAGTCTAAAAATAACCAAAACATTTAAGGGGCAAGTGTTCAACCTGCAGAATGAACTAACCATGAGGCTATAGGTACTATTCGTGTCATTATCCTCTTCCTCTTCCTCTTCTTCATCTGCAGAAGAAAGAAACAGAGAAAGAAATCAAGCAAGTGGGGGGGGGATCAGGACCAGCGGAATGCTTATATACAGGCATGGAAGGGGGTGTCATTGGAAACCCAATAGATGGTGATGCTCCCGCAGGCCTTACCATCGTCAGGCATATCATTGTCGTCGTCATCTTCATCACACTCATCATCAAGGGCATGTTGCCGCTTAGTGGTGACTTTTGGCAATGTGGGGAACTTTCTCTCCACCCAGCCCCGACCAAGCAGTTGCCTCCTGATCACAGGGTAAGGGCCATGCACCATGAAGATCTTCCTTTGCTGGGGAGAATGGAAGGAAGGGTGTTATAAAAGAGAGCCTCTTCGAGGTGAAGAGGGAAGACTGTCAAGACACAGAACGTCCAAAAAAGAGGGGAAGGTTGAGCCGGCCTCCCTCACCTTGATAGCCCTCTCCACATACTGCCGGGCTTGTTTGAGGCGCTCAGGATTGAGGGACAAGTTGAAGTTGATCCTTCTTTGCCCATCTATGAGAGAAAAAGCATATCCTGAGGACAGGGAAAGAAAGGCTTGGAGAAAGGGAATGGTTAGCCTCTGTCTCTATGACCTCTGTCTTCTGCCTAAGGCACTGGTTCTTAACCTTTGTTACTCAGATGTTTTTGGACTGCAACTCCCAGAAGCCTTCACCATCAGCTCTGCTGGCTGGGGTTTCTGGGAGTTGCAGTTCAAAAACACCTGAGTAACAAAGGTTAAGAACCACTGGCCTAAGGCACTGAGGAATCTGCTCCCTCCCATTCTTTGTCTGACAACCAGGAGATCAAGTGATGCACAGGTAAAAGCCTATCGGTGCAAGCAATGACAATAAATCTTAGGGAAGTAAGGGCACAATGAGAAGCCTGTGGGAACAGAATGAACAGAGCCAAAACAACCCCCTGAGAAGAACATTTATGATGTTTGAAATGTTCCCATTTATTTAAGAAAAAAGCAGGTAAGAAGGAGCGTCATGAACTGTTGTACAAGTAAGCATGTTGTAGACAGAAAGCAGATGTGAGAACGTGACTTTTTTCTTCGTCCATCATAATTAAAGAACTTCGGGTCCTCCACAGATATTGAATGTTGGGAAACAAGGAAGTTATTCTTAAAATACTGCAAAGTTCTGTTTGTCTCCTTAAAATGAAGCAATCCCCATAAACTCAGACAGCTTAAAATAGTACATGGCGGGATGCTTACTTCCAACACGGACTGTCTGCCCTAGCTGTACATCCCAGGCTGGACAAACGAGGAGGACTCAGAAGGAGAAAACAAGGAAGCAGGGCTTCTCGGCAGCTGCTCTCAGCTCTGGAATGAGCTGCCATCGGAAATTCGCCTGCCCCCCTCTCTGGTGACTTTTAAGAAATGTGTGAAAACCTTATTTTGGCAGGCTTTTCAAAACATTCCATATGAATAGCCGCTGAGAGTATCAGCCCATCATTTTTTATTGCTGCCTGTTTTTAAGTATAATGCCATTTTAATTGTGCTTATATTATTTTATGTTATCACTCTTAAGATTTTATTTAATTTTATTTATTTATTTATTTACAGTATTTATCTATTTGTTTGTTTGTTTGATTTATCTACAGCCCATCTGACAGTTTTATTACATGGCATAATAAAACAGATGATACAATAACAGGACAAAGCATAAATTAATCAATACAAAATTAAACAAATAAAAACAATATCAGTAAACATTAAAATAAAAAAAGGAAAATGAAAAAGATGGTTGAACAATAAGTTGAATCAAGACAGAGTCTGGGAAGCCCTGTCTAAAAAGGAGTACATTCCCTCTCATTGCTTGTGCTTGATACTTGACTCAAAAAATACTACTTTCCATGGGAAAAAAGTGTTTTTGAGATTAATTCCTTAGACAGCTGTTGTTTCTTTCTTCTGTGCAATATTGGGAAATGGAACAAAGTCACTTGCATGGCACCATGTGTATTGCATTTTAGAAAATAGATCTTAAGTAATTTTTATTGGTTTCTGTTTTGAATTATCAACCAATATATACTGTATTTTTTAAAAAAAATCATCACATGTCTTTACGTAATGGGATTCTACTTCTGAAGAGAAAATTTCTTGTTGGAGTATCTGATTTTAATATGTGAGCAACATTTCTTTCTGCCAATTTGCATTTCTCATAAATTATATAAATGTGGTTGATTTAAAAAATAAATAAAAAGGAATGCTTTTAACAGTTTATTGAAAGTTCCCAGTGAGGGCACCAGGCAAATTTCAGGCGGGAGGACATTCCACAATTGTGGGGCTACTGCCAAGAAAGCCCAGTTTCTAGTCATTGATTTCTGGGCCTCTCTCGAGGTCATAAACCTCAACCACCCAGTCTGGGAAGATCTTAACTGGATGGGCCAATCTAGTCGGAAGGAGGCATTCTGTCAGATAACGAGGTCCCAAACCTTTGAAGTGCCCAGAGTGACCATTGTTCAGATGGGCATTACAGAAATTGAATGAATGAGTGAGTGAGTGAAAAGAAGGGGAGGGACAGACAAGTATGTTGAGAGCAAGGCTATCAATAGCTACCCCTTATGATGACTACAGTATATATTAACTTCTCCAGGATCACAGGCAAGACGCCTCTGCATATCAGCTGATGGGAAAAGAGCAGGAGAAAAGCATTGCACTCAATCAAACCTTGTTTTGGCTTCTCAGAAACATCTGGATGGCCACTGCAAGAAAAAGGCTGCTAGACCAGACAAGCCTTTGGTCTGATTCAACATAGTTTCTCTTATATTTCCAGAAAAAAATGTGGCTGCTGGAAGAGATGGCTTCGTTCTAAAGAGTTGGAAAGGACAGTAACTACTCATGTCCTGGATGTTTTCCTAACATGAACAGTTAGAACTGGGGTGGTGGTGGTGGTGGGGTGAGTGGTAGCAACTGGCTTGCCCACAGCTCAGAGCACAAGGAACCCAGGCAGCCTCCTGGTCACTCACCTTCTGCCCTGCCTCTGCTGGTATTGGGAGCAGTGGCTGGCTGGCGGCGAGTGGCGCGTTGACTTTTATGTTCTCCATCAAGCCTCAGTTTTCCAACTAAGATAAAAAAATTTAAAAGCAAAAACACAGCGAGGGTTTAAATAGCAACAAACCACATCAATGAAGTTTTGCAGATGTGAAGAGGGAAGACTGCCAAGGCACATCATGTCCAAAAATTGTTTAAGGCATACTGCAACTTATAGAGAGGTATCCTAGATAGAGCAGAACAAGGGAATAGAAGCCTTGTTAAAATCAGAAGTGGTTTATTAGATGAAGCAGATAAAAATGGCATCCAATTCATGGAATGAAGGCAGACTCCTTTCTGAAGGGAAGGGCTGTCAGCCTGACTCTGTTTCTAAAACCAAGTGGCACCATCTAGCAGTAACATTGCTCCCACACAGATACCACCACAGCTCTCACATGGGTCAGCTGTTTTGTGTATCAGTACAAAGTTCTCATGCACGACCAGATATGGTTTGATTGTATTCCTGCGTTGAGCAGGGGGTTGGACTTTATGACTTTGTAAGCCCCTTCCAACTTCACTATTCTATGATTCTACCATTCACACTTGTCAAAAAAACCCAGCAGTGACAATTGCTTTGTGTTTGGGTGAGAAGTGGTTAACTGATGACAGAAGGAGTTAGCAGCTGTGGTTTTCCCTCTCTTGATGTCACTTTGAGGATGGTAGTGAGCACAAGAATGTAACCTATAGCCTAGTGGTTCCCAACCCTGGGTCTCCAGATGTGCTTAAACTAAAATTCCCAGGAGCCTTCTCCATTAGCTGTGCTAGTCAGGATTTCTGGGAATTGTAGTCCAAGAACATCTGGGGACACAAGACTGGGAAGCACTCCTGCAGACCATCTTGATTGCTGCCATTGGTGTTGTCAACATACATGCTGCTCTTTGCTATGTAAAGCCTGGTATCTTTTATCCTGATAGCAATGCAGACATGATATTGCGCAATAATATCAGGCTATTTCTTCATATTCTGGATCATGCGTAAAGAAGCAAAGTACCACATTCATAAACCAGAAGGTTTTTTTAAACATATTGAATATGATATGTCTTTGGCACTGGAAAACAAACTTGTCATGAAGCAGATACTACTTTACCAGCTCTTTCGGGTATTCTGTTCCTCGTAGGATCACTGTTCCCTCCTCCTTTACTCTTTGAACCCACCTGTGAAACACCAGTAGAGATACTGAGATTATCCAGGTTCCTTTGTTACTAAAGACTTGCCTCCCCACAAATTCCCAGGATTGTCCTACCATGAAGACAACAACAAAATGATAAAGTGAAGGATAAGGACTAAAGACTTTAAAACTCCCACGATGTATCTCTCATAGTTCAGGGATAGGGAATATGTGGTCCTCCAGATGTTGTGGGCCTGTAATTTCTGCCATCCCTCACGACCCCCTGTATCAGACAGGGCTTATAAGATGAGCAGGCCAAGAATACCTGGAAGGCCACATGTTCCTCCACCTTCTCCTAGCAAAAATCTGGAATTCAGAGCAAGCAGCCATTTCCATTGTTTGTGTGCATCCATCCCACCAGAACAGATCACTGGCATGCCTCCTCAATAACACTACAGAATAGAAGCAACTCCCCCAAATTTTAGGCAGCAAAAATCCTGTTCAATCCTTACTGCTCTAGGAAAACTGCACATCTGCTCTGAAGTGTCCAGTGAAATAAAGAGATGAACAGAGCTTGCTTATGGTCAAAGAAATGATGTTTCCCTACTTTAACTAGCTGTTTAAAATTTAATTGGAGATCTACATAGTGAAAGATTCTAGAGTCCTTAAATTTTCTAAATTGCTGCCAGAAATTTCAAATCCTTTTTCTGTTGAAAAAACAACAACAAAGTATGTACAAAACACCATTACTGTTTGCATGAAACTTGATTCTTGGATCTTCAGGCTAGGAAAGGCAGACCCTGTTAACATTACCAAAAAGCTACCCAGGGCCATTCACCTGCATATTCTTGGTGCCAGCTCCACTGTCTGTACGACAACTCACAGTGAATGGGTATGTCGGTCATGGCGCAACACCTGGCCACCTGGCAGAGACAAGGTGACAGTTCACTGTTGTGGATAAGCTAACTAACTGAATCCCACCCTCTACCCAAGCCAATATCCCACCAAAGAAGTCTGGCCAAATCAGATTCACACAGACATCTGTAACATAGTACAGCAACCCATCATGACACAAAGAAAAAAATCTTAGTTTTTACGCAGTGCTAGAGAAATATACACTCAACACATCACACATACCTACAAACATAGGAGAGTCATTTGACCATTATAACTTGTAACCACAATAGATGGTTTCTATGGTTCCCAGCCTTGGGCAACCCAAGTGTTCTTGGACTGCAACTCCCAGAAACCTTGGCCATCTCAGCTGGTGGTGAAGGCTTCTGGGAATTGCAGTCCAAGAACAACTAGGCTACCCAAGCTTGGGAGCCACTGCTGTAGATTCTCCAGCTGGGCTCATGAGGGAGTAGTAATAAGTTAAAATGACAACACTGCATTTCTGTATCCTCTAGAACTGCGGATGGTGGTTTATGTCTCTGGCTGTGGACCCAGAGATTGAGAGTTTGATTCCGCACTGTGCGTCCTTTATACAAGGGCTGGGAATTGATGATCTATCTGTAGGGTTCCTTCCAGGACCTTCTGCAGTTCTAAGATGATGATGAATGGTTTCTTCTCAAGAACAGAAATGAAATTTCCATACAAAAAGGAGCAGAGAGAATAGTTTCTATATCAATTCAAACATGGGGCCAGCAGCAATCCCTTGCCCACCCCCAGGAATCAGATACAAGTGCAGAAATATCTTCCCACCTGTCTACATGGAGTCCAGCCACTCCCACAGGCTAATTGTTCTGATTGCAATTATTTTCTCCCCTCCAAAACCTAAAGGAACAATTTCCACGTTGCTTCTCTACCACTCCCCAAGTGCAAAGTTCTTACATAAAAACAGCTCCACCTCCCAGTTAAAAACCACCACCACCACCAGTTTTAAAGACAGGACAATATCCTGAAAGATACGGGATCATAACAAAGACGGAAAGGCCTCTGATGATCTATGCAAGGGCCATCTGCCTTAACAAGAAGTAATCCTAGAACACTAGGAGCCGAGGGAGGTTTTGGTCAGACTCGAGCCTGAGTGGGTAAACCTTTCTCCTCATTTCACCCCTCTATCGGGCTTTACCCTTGCAAAATTTCTCCCATCACCAGCACCGTCCGCGATGTCCGGGGTGAGCGGGGTGGGTGGGTGGATGGGCAAGAAGGGCGTCTGCCTGTCTCCCGAATATTCAATGTATTGTATTATTTTAATAGTACGTTGTGGTCCTCCCCCTCCTCCTCCTCCTCCTCCTCCCGAAAAATCCCCTGCGAGCACTCCTGCCCCGTATCCCCCCCTCCCCTGCCCTGAAGCATCCTCTCCCAGCCTCCCTTTCCCTCGGGCCCACCTCCCCGGGACTCCCGCCGCGCCGAAGAAGGGGTGCCAATGGAGCGGCTGAAGGCGCTCCGAGTTCCCGCCGGCCTTCCTCTTTCATGCCCCAGACTGTTTGGTGTCGCCATGGGAACCGCGGGCGGGCGGGGGAGGGCGTGTCCTACCAGAATGGCTGGCTCTGACCCCGCCCCCTCGCCCCGCCCCTTTGGGAAAAGGGAAGCACTCTTTCCTATTCTAACAGAATTCAGCGGTTTGGCGCTCTGTAGGGACCGGAGGAGTGCGTGGTGGTGGTGGTGGGGGTCCAATGGCGTTGCAATTTGGGCGGCTAGGTGTGAGATTCCCAAAAATATCCCCCCCTCCCTGGAAGGGATAAAAATAATAGTACTTTTTTTCCCCTTCCCTTTGCCCGTCAGCATAGTCAGCAGAGAGGTGGGGAGTCTTTCCTCATATGTAATGGATCTTATTTTTAAAGCCACTTTCCCCGTTCATCTCTCGTCCCGTTTGAAGGGCCGAAGGCTCCTTATTTGTCCCTTAAGGGGATTTTGATACCAGGGCAAACACACCTTTTCTCTTGGTAGGACGGAGAAAAGGCGCTCGTTTGTGATCCCTGCCACGTGGCATTGGATGCAAAGGATTTTTGAAGGAAGGCTTGCAGCCAGCAATTTGTTGTTGTGATTGGCAGAAAAAGCCAGGGGAGGCATAAAAAAATAACAGACAGTACAACTCATTTTAGGTATAGATGTCCCTGTGAAAGGTTGCCATAAAATCAGAACAGACTTGACAGCACAACACATCATTATTATTGAACAGGATAAAATGGAAGCGTGTTTTAGTGGCATGAAAGAAAGTGCTGTGTCAGTGGCCCTACCCACGTTTGTGGCATGGTTTCCCCTCTCCTTTGCTATCTTTCACCAATTCCTGAAGGGCACGTTGTTCCAGCATTTTATTTACAACACTTTATTCTATGGTACATGACCCATGTTTTTACACTTACACCATCTCTTTGTTATATATTGAAAACTTTTATTAATAAACTTTAACTAAATAATATGGTAAATGAAAATATTTATTTATTTATTTATTTATTTACAATATTTTTTGGCCGCACCATTGCCAGTGGCAATGGTGCCAAAAGGGACACTCTAACTTCATTTACTTTGGAAGTGGTTCATACTGGTCCCCTATTACCTCTGATATATCATCTACATTTATTATCTCCCCCTGCCCTGTGCTTCAAGCGCAAGCAAGCGGAGTCTGGAGACATTTGCCCCTTAACGATGTAAGCATTGATGGACCAAATTTCTTGTAAAACGTTTACAGACGCTACTAGGATGATGTGTGGCTCAGGGCTCAGAAGTAAAACAAGACCTCTGGAGCCTAGGCCTACCTTGAAAGAGAGGGTAAATGACAGTGTCATTTACCTGGAACTTGTTAGAATGTTCAGCATTAATCTGTGACATCAAAGTATATTAGAACCACTTCATAGGCCAAAATTCTATTGCATTTTCCCAGTGCTTCTGCCTCATTAAATAACCAGACAATCCACTCAATGAGACAGGAACTTCCCTATTGCCAAAATATGTGGGAATGTGTCCATTTGACTATCCTCCTTCTGACAACTATATGAAGGAGCATGTACAGCCAAAATGTTACATTGCGCACATAAGGGGAGGAGAGGACCAACTGTTTGAGTGTTAAGACCATTGAGAGAGGCCTTTCTCTCAGTCCCACCCTGACAGATGTGTCTGATCACCCCCATCCTTGTTGTCCTTCTGCAAAGACCTTTCTCTTCAGGAAAGGCTTCCCTCTGTGACTGGCTGCCTGAGTGGGATTTTTAGTGCTTTGAATGTGTTCTTAGTATCGCTTTTGTTTACCATTTCTTAGAATAGTATTTGTTTGATCCTGTTGAATATTTACATACATATTATTTTTGGCTTTAAATAATGTATTTTAGTGATGTAAGGCACACTCTTTTTAAAGCAGAACGGTGGGGTAGTGGTAGGGTTTTAAATAAAATAAATGAATAAGTGTCCCCTTATTGGGAGGAAGGCTGCCTATGAATAAATAAACAAACAAACATCTCATTGTCAAAATCAAATGCTATGTATCACAAAGCCCAGTGGAAAACTAGAAATACTGCAGCAAGGTGCTATATCTGGGCTTTATTTACAGCACTACTACTAATTATATGCTGTAATGTTAAAAAGAGACAACAGGATCCTATGCATTTCTTGCTTAACAGTAGCACAGGAGAGACATAAAACTACCATCTCTTAGCTAGGGCTGGATCAGAGAGGACAGAAAATAGCAGCTGCACATTGTTTTGAGCCACACAACCATGGCATCCTCCGGGCCTCTGTTCCACTTTATCTTATTCATATGGCACCCAGTCATTCTAGAGTCATAGTCATTGTAGTGGATTTACTATTTTACAAAACGAATAAACCAATACCTTGCTTTTGAAGACTGACACATGCAAGCCATTATGAGACTCTCAAGCAGATGTGCACAATAGGGAAGTGGCTCCGTTTCTCACTTCTTGCCCTCAGCAATGGCGTAACGGAGCTAAAGGTCTCAGCATTAAAACACTGGGGCTTTGTGTCATCTGCCATCACCAGGGCCTCCTTGGTGTTTCTTGGCTTAGCTGTTATTTTCACAGCACATACCGGGAATGAGGAACAATTTATCCCAAGATCAACATTGGTGTGGGCATTGTTCTAAAATAAGTATTTAGGCTTGGTCTTGGTCTTCAATGGGCAATTAAAATGTGCAAGCTTTACCAAGGATCTATTCTTGATGGAGAGTGAAACTATAAAAATGGGTTTGTTGATCTGGACAACAGAACTGCTTGCCTTTTTGGATTCTCCTTGATGGTGGCCAACTATGGAAACTGCCATGGTAAAAACCAGCACTTCAGAATCTACCACTGGACCCAAAATGATTTAAACTTCCCAAACCCCTCAAAGTGTAAAAAATGTGTGCGCGCATTTTTAAAAATTGCAGCATGAGGATTTGTTTTGTCACCAGTGCATCAGGTCAGGAAGTAGGAAGCAACACTCAAGTTTATTTTTAACTCAGCTGTCTCTTGACCACAACAGAAGATGAGCCTGAGGAACCCACAAGACTACTAGTACTACTACTTTGTAAGAAAGGGAACTGCTTAAATCACAACTTTACATCTTGTCAAAATAAGAGCAGAGGCCTTGCTAGCAAGGTGGTGCTGGAGAGAAACGGGTGAAGGAGGCAGTTTCCATCAGAGTTTCCCTGTGGCAGAGGTGTGGATGGGGACAGAAAGCATAGGAACAGGGTGCAGTGCTGTGCACAGAACACTCTGATCCCGGGGGGGGGGGAAGGTAAGGGAACATGGACTGGAGAAAGCCATCTCTCCAGAGACTGGGGGGGGGGCCTTGGCACAGATGGGCAGTCATCATCTCCAGCAGCCAGCTTGCCTGCAAAATCACAGTCCTGCTTGGGAGATATCTCAAAGCAGTCACTCTCCGGATGCTCAAAGGTTGGGGGTGAATTCAGATGACCAAGATGGTTCAGGCCTCATTTGCTAGGCCCCCATGACACAGACAAAGGCAGCTTTCTGTCAGCTACTGGAGGCAACTTTTGCATGCAGAGCACTGAGCCGAAGGCTGCTAGAACAAACCAACCCTCCTCCCTGCTCCCACCACAAGGATTTGGCCACTAAGAGATGCAAGTAAGACAAATTACAGCAAGTGATCAGTTATTTTAAAAAAAGGATATCAAGTCAACACAGTCTTAAACCAGCACAGTTTTCTTCCAAAAATATTAAAAAGAACCCTCCCTTCCCCTGGGCACACTGGCGAGCATGGTGTACATTTAGCTGGGATAGCCCCCGCAGGTCTGGCTGCTTCTCATCTCACTCCTGAACTGTGGCCTTCTCTGTTGCCCCAGCAAGGTGGCTGTGCAGAGAGAATGAGAAAGCAAAGCTGTGGATTCCAGCCCTTGGTCTAGAACTAGGAAAGGAAAAGAGAAGAGAGAGATTTAATATAAAGGTGGTTTAAATAAACTGCTATTCTAGTTTCCTCAGAGGCGCATAACAGCCATATTTTTATATGCAATCATAAAATGATGTGACCAGTGCCGTGTTTAGGACTAAGTCCAAGAGAGATTCAATTATATTAATAGAAATTCATAAGTAAAAGCGCCTGGATTTTTGCTCACTCCTTTTACAATGCCCACAACTGCTCTTTGCAGTTCCTGCTTTTTCATTGATACTATCAGTGCTCTACAGATCATTTAGCACTAATCTCATGCAACAGGGACTTCTAAAAAGAATTACTTGATTCCTACTGAAATCTGCGCTGAAGTGAATCTCTGCAGCCAGAATTCCTGCCAGAACCAAGTCCACTGGTCTAACTCTCAGTGGCAAACTGCCATGAGAGTGCAGGCATTTGGTATCACATACCAGTCACCTGGTGCATGGAAATACATTATCTATGCTGACCTCTTAATTAGTGGCAATCTGCTGCTGAAATTTACACCGATGCACTTAACACCAGTATAAATTTTTCAACTGAATTCCAGCCAATGAATATACTCCGAGTAACACTTTAGCATACTTTCTCTGTAATGAACTCAAGCTGTAAGCAATACTAGGGGATTAAACACTGTGTGGTGCATGGGTTAAAACTCCCGAAACTCTGCTCACCACCTGGGTTCAATCCCAGGTAGCCAGCTTGAGGTTCACTTAGCCTTTCAACTTTATGAGGTTGATAAATTGGTTGCTCGGCTTGCTTTGGGAGGGGGGGGCAATGTGTAGCCTGCATAATTAAATTACAAACTGCCCTGAGAACGCTTTAAGCATATTGATTTTTCTTTTTGCTTTAAGAAATAATAAATGATTCAACATGGCGAACTTACAGGAAGTCAAGAAGCCATTTGAACAGAGAGTTCTTATGTATACTGATAATAATACAAAGATTCAGTTTCTGTTCTAAGAGCATTTAGCAAACAGTATTCATGATTAGGTTCTCCTTTTTGGTCTCTAACTTGTTTTCTACTTTGTTCAGAGACCACCTTTCATTCTTACTTCACCCCCTGCCACTACATCTCTTACTTCACCCTCTGCCACTACTGCTCCCACCAAGATCTACTCGGATCACCCGCGCGAGCCAGGAGGTCAGGTTGAGGAGCCTGATGCCAAGGGAGGACCAGGGAGAAAAGACATGAAACCGGGCCTTCTCGGCGGTGGCTCTTCGCCTCTGGAATAACCTTCCTCCGGAGATTCGCGAGGCCCTACGCTGGGGTACTTTTAAAAGCCAACTAAAAACATGGATGTACATCCAGGCATTCCCTCCCGTCAGCACTTCTCTTTTCTTTCTCGCTATTTATTATTTTCTATATTTTTTGCACTGTATCTGTTATTGATTATGTCATAATGCTTTTGTGTTATTTTAATGTATATATGTTATGTTGGAGTGGTAGAATATACCAGATGGGCAGGATATAAATCAAATAAATAAATAAATAAATAAATACATTCACTCTCCCTTCTATATATGATGCTAACAGTCTGAGGACACACCAGCGAGGTTCTTACAACCTACTGCTCAATGCTGGCATTCCATTTCATACCACTTCTGTAACATCTAATAGATTCTTACATTCTTGAGGAACTCCTCTGCCACAATGCGAGCCCTGGCATTGACTGACAGCTTCATCTCACTGATTTCCTTATCAATTTCTTCCATGAAATGAATGACAAAGTCCACCAACTTGTGCTTATACATCTGCTCTGTATGGAAATTTGTGATCAAAAAGCTAATGTCATAGCCCTAGGACAAAAGAGAAACAGCACATCATTAACATCTGTTAACCTAAGAGTAGCCTCATCATTCTTTGTACTAAGCACACACACAAAAAAAGTAATCTGACTTCTGTTGATAGCAGCATCAAGGCTGAACTCACATTAGATGCTTTTGTATTTTGGACATACCAGAAGATGACTAGACTTGCTGGAAAAGACAGTATGGCTAGAAAAAAAATTAAGGAAAAAAAGACCTCATTAAAGACAGTATGGCTAGAAAAAAAATTAAGAAAGGAAAAGAAGACCTCATATGAGGTGAATTAATAAAGAATGGCAAAGTTTTGAGCTTGTAAGACTTGAGCAGGGCTGCTAATGAAAAACCTTTTGAAAGTAACTAATTCATAGATACCGTGAATTGGAAACTAACTGCTGGCCCATAATAATAATAACAAAAAAACGGTGGGGTTTTCCGCCTTTCCAAAAGTGATATCTGTAAATTGAAAGAGCTGAGAAAATGAACACATTACATTGTAGAATGCAGACCCTGTCGACTGTGTCAGCACTTAGCTACTGATACTTCAACAGTGATTATGGTACAAATGTTTTACACTCTCCTGTAAGGCCACTGCTAATTATTGCACCGATGGGTTAAAAACAGTGGACGGAAATCACTACTGCTAACCAACCACCCTTTAATGGCAAAAGGCATTTCTGAGGAAGCTTATCCTTACTCAAGTATGGCACCTTGCACAAGTTAGAGTTACAACTTCTATCCAAGGAATAGGCTGGTTCAGATATTGTTAGTAGTGAATGAAATCCAGTGTTAAGTTACAGCTGGAGTAGGCCCAATCTGAATCAATTCAGGTTTGGTGGTTCAACACTTTTGTAAATTCCACTGCTTCAGTGGATCTACTCTAGCTGGGATTTACTACTGGATTTCAGTCTCTGTCTCAAAGGCAAAGAAAGAAGCATCTTGTCCAATGGCCTCGACTTCTGTCTGGTCTCCTCACCTCCACTGATTTTCGACGTAAAATGTAGAAGTTCTCTGCTCTCATCATCATGAACCGCATAAATTTGTGACAGAGAATCTTCTCAATCTCGTCCGCCTGCAAAAAAGGAAGAGAAACCCATCAGAATTTTCCTCAGGTTCAATCAGTGAATACCCTGTCTCTCATCTCCTATGCTTGTTCCTACCTGCTTCACAGCAATGCTAATTCGCACAGAATTGATGGATCCTTCAATGAGGACTTTCTCTTTCTCATTTCTGCTGATGATCACTGGCTGCAATAGGAGCTCCTTGCTGCTTCTGTAAACCAAGAGACAGAGAGATCTATATCAAAGGTTGAAGAAACATATGGGTCTCTCCTCTGGATGGATTCCAGCATAACATGGTCCACTATTAACTTACCAACTCCACTGAATTGGCACTTCTAAACATGAACTTCACACAATCCATCCTCCAAATAATACAAGCATTTTTACATGCGAATGTACCTCTGTAGGAACAGGGAAAACAGTCTTCAAGCAGCTATCTTTGCTTGGAAAAGGAAGATAAGCTACCCTTCCGTACCAACCACTGTGTGAAAATTTACCCATAAGATAATTGTTTTGGGGGACGGCAGGAGAAGAAAACCAGCAGGATATGAATCAGAGACACTCTACTGTCAATCCCTGTCTCAAAAAGATGATTCCACAATGTTTAACTCAGTTATGGAACCAGACACATTTAAACATGAGCATAAGCTACCAGTTCATATTTTCCATTCATACTTATGCACATGAGCATAAGTAAAGCTACCATTTCATATTTTTCACCCAGAATCTTTTCTCAGATGTGCTTCTCTAAGTAAGGGCAATTAAGACATTTTGCTGCCTGAGACAGAACAGGAAATGCTGCTCCCGAATCAAGCTGAGTAGTACCCAAACCAGCCAAATTATTTTTGCAGATTAGATACAATCATGTCTGCTATTAAAAACAACAACAAAGCACCCATACAATTTCAGGCCTTTAAAAAATGTCTTGTATTGCTTCAAATAGCCTATAAATAGCATCCCCATGAGGCACAGAAGGGGATGACATCCACACCATTAGTTGATATCCCTAGATTTCCAAGAGAGAGAAACAACAATAAAATTCAGAATGCATCAGTGTGTGAATCTGCTGATGAATGGTGAACAGGGACATCACATTTGAATCCCCCTACTCATTTTCCAGAGCAGGCAGAGCAACTTCAGTGAATCTGGGTCCATTTGCACCCGTGCTCAGATATTAGGGAGCCACACCTGCTGATTTTACAACACTGAAGCACTCTACATTTACTCTACACCTTGTTATAAACAGTAACAGGGTGACTCTGGCTTACTGTAGCTGACCACCGTTTTTGTTATGTACTCTCATTTAGTTTCCAAATTATGGACACCCTAATAAATATGGGTTTATGTGAGCTATTTAAGGAGTGGATTTACAAATACAATCCCCCAATGAGTTTCCATGGCCAAGCAGGGATTTGAAACCAGGCCTTCCGTATCTTAATCCAACGTGCTACCAATTACACTACACTGGCTCTCAGGCCATCAAAATACAGTAGGACCTCCTTATCTGCTGAACTAATATCTGCTGACTTATCAATGGTTTGAAAATATTAAAAATATTAAAAGTATAATCCTAGACCATGCTGTCTCTAGCATTTGCAATTAAAATAGCATTCTCTAAAATCCATATTTTTCAGGCTCTGTGGCAGGGTGGGAAAGCTTAGAACCAATCCCCCATGGATACGGGGGTTCTGCTATATTAACATGTCCTGGAACTGTTGCAAAGATAGTAATAGAAAAGTGAGTACCAGAAACTTGCTGTACAGGAACAAAATTTCTGATTTCCCCACTATATGTCTGAAGTCAGCTAATACAGCCACATGACTCACAATGCATTAGTCATGTTTGCATTTTGATATTACCAATTTGATTCAGAGTTTGGACCTTCTATAAATACTTCTGTGTGCTTGCTAGCCATGATACAATAAGATTTTTGAGCACAACAGCATGTGCAAGCATTCTTAATGTAATTGTTTCTTTCTTGAATTAATTTCCAACTCTCTTTTCTCACTCATCTTTTAACAGATCCAACTGGATTTTAATAGCCAATTCCTACATTTTAAAATAAAAATATAATCCAACACATGTTTATCACTGTATTAACTATCCAGGTTTTCAACAACTTGTCATAGTTGCTTTAAACAGGGTTTTACATACAAAATCTAAAAAGTTTCCATTTAAAAACATTCTACCACTCATTACTATGGAAAAAAGGCTAAGGTGAACAAACACTTACTGTTCAAAATCTTCTTTTCCTGCCTGTACAAACCTATAACCCTTAACAAGAAAATTTTAATATTGAATTCTACAAATACTATCTCAGTATGCAAAACCTTGCAGTCATGCACATTCAGTGAATAAAATCTGTCTAGTTTCTGAAACTGCTGTTAATTACTCAACTCTTTTGTAATCTCATATATGAAGCCGAGTTCCCCAAAACAAGAAAAATAATCTTAAGAAACATGTTACAGAAAAGCTGCCTGTCAGATTCTTGCCAGGATACCAGCAGATGCAGCACAGGTACTTCAGTTACCATGGCAAAAGCTACAAAAACCAAATGCTCCAGAATCAAGCAGAAGCACTCTTTTGAGCCTCCTCAGCATTTGCAATATTAATCTACTGGCAGCAATTTAAGAATGCAAGAAGCCCTGAAGGGCCAGATCAAAGGCCTCTTTCGTTCAGAACTCTGTAATGCTGCAAAGCAGTACATAAGCATCATGATACAACCAACTTCTGAAGTTCCCCACTGACTGATAAAGAGAGCCATACGGCCTCTAATACTGGATATAATGGCTGAAATCCAATTGTTAAAGAAATGGCAAAACTTTCAGAGGCAAATTACAACAGGTCAGGAAATTAATGTAGACACTACTGGATGCATGACGGGTTATATGACTCAATAGACAACAGATGACATCTACAGAGATTTCTTAACTTGTAGCAATTCCTTTCCAAAACTTGTGCTACTTGCATAACCCTGCAAGAGGATTTCAGCTAATATATGGCCATCATTGCTAGCCTTCTATTCTATAAATTTGTCCAGCTTCTTTTACTGCAAGCCACACTGGAGGCCATCATTACATCTTGTGCTAGAGAATTCCATGCTTTAAATATGTGCTGCATGAAAGAGGAGGCTGGCCGGATAGCTCAGTAGTAGAGGTATCTGGATGCGGAGAGAAAGGTTGGCCTTAGCAATCTGCTCAGTCCCAGGATGCCCTCAGAAGGGTCTCATAAACCACTTCCAAGTAGTTTCTACCTAGAAAACTCTGAAAAGGTTCACCGTAAGTCAGAATTGATTTGACAGCTAATGATTATAGTTATATGAAATTTCTTTTTACCTACCCAGTCATTTAGTTTGACTGTATGAGCACAGGTTCAAAAATTTTGGAAAATTCCCCTGTGTACACCATGCATTGTTTCCAGTATTTTTATCATGCTATTCCCTCTTTTCTGAAAACCAGCATTCCCCAATGTGGTGTCCTGCAGATGTTTTGCAACTTAACTCCCATTAGCCTCAGACAGCATAGCTGATGGTCAAGCACCACTGCAGCTATAGTGCAAAACATCTGCTGTACACTTCTTGAGATGAGCTGTTTTAAGCTCATGTCTCCACAGGTCATCTATAGCCCCTGCTGGAATGGTTGGGAGCACTCTAAAAAAAATCACTGACTACTATGTGTGACATTCATGCTGGAGCATTCCAACCTGTCCCTAATGGGGACAACTCCATCCCAGATTAGTCTAGGTTTGGAGCCTACTGTTTATGCAGAGCAATTAAGATCAGTCCAAATAAACATGGCTTTCTTTCTGTGCAATTGCCTAGATCAGGGGTCCCCAAACTATGGCCCGCAGGCCACATCTGCCCCACCTTGCCATTTTATCCGGCCCATTCCCTTCAGCCCGTCCATGCCTGCGCATATAGGGGGTTTGCACATGTGTCTGTTCCTTTAGCCCTCAAATATGTTTAAAATATCAGGTGTAGCCCTCACAGTCAAAGGTTTGGAGACCCCCGGCCCAGATAACTCCAAAGTGAGGTTGGGGATTCATTCTTCCTACACACAAAGGAGTGAAGATTGGACAGATCTCTCTCTTCTCCCCCACTACTGTTCTGCTTTCTGCACTTACAAACATGGGTGTGGTGGTGAGCACACATACATATGTATGCGAGTGCATGTTTGTGTATCTGCATTGCACGGATGCGTGGGATTTGGTCACAGTGTGCATCATTTTAAAGCTCTTTGTGGGGAAAAGGGGTGAGGGAGCAGGTAAATAAATGCATGGAAGTGTATGTGTGTATCCGTGCAACACACTGATCCTTCCCTTCCACTAGATCAGTGGGCTCCACTTAACTCCATCCAGATTCTCAGTTGCTCCTCCTCAACTTGCACCCCCTTCCATCTCACACTTTTTTACTTCCTCTGCAGAGCAAGAGAAAAGACAAATTTGTTTATATCCAGAAGTCGCTTCTTATTAAGCCTCTTAATGATATTGGCTTTGAAACCATTGGGTTTGATTAAAATAATCTAACCTAGCCTAACCGTTCAAAAGTTGCTTACACTAGCTTACTCCTTGCTGCTAGTGTGGCCATACTCCTGCTTTTCATTTTCCACAGTGACCTTGGGAAGCCTGCCCTAAGGACATGAAGGAATATGTCCAAATATTGCTGATTTCTGAACAACTGGTATTCAGTGACACACTGCTGCTAAATTTAAGTTCCAGTTAGGTAAAGGTTCCCCTTGACATTTAGTCAGTCATGTCCAACTCCAGGGGACGGTGCGCATCCCCATTTCCAAGCTGCTGAGCTAGTGTTTGTCTGAAGAGTTTCCGTTGTCACGTGGTCAGCACGGCTATACACGGAATGCTGTTTACCTTCCCAACAAGGTGGTACCTATTTATCTACTCGCATTTGCATGCTTTTGAACTGGTAGGTTGGCAAGGAGCTGGGACAAAGCGACGGGAGCTCACTCCGTCGCATGGATTTGATCTTGCAACTGCTGGTCTTCTGACCCTGCAGCACACAAAGGCTTCTGCGGTTTAGCCCGCAGCACCACCACGTCCACTATCACTAAATAACACAACCCATCTTCCTTAAAGTGCTTGAATTGCATTTCAGTGCCATTTAAACCAGTGGTCATTCGTGTGCATGACATTTGAGGGTTTTTTTTTAAGATTCCAACTTCCAAAGGCCTAAATCTTTGTGGGAGGGTCTTGCTGCCCATTATACTTTGTATAAGGCAACCGCAAATAACTGTACTTCCCCCAAAGACCTAGGCCTCCTAGCAATTACTGGGATAATTTCCTTTTTGTACAGGAAGTAGGTCAGAGACAGTCTAGAGAAACCCTGTTCCAAGTCTGTCTGTGGGCAGGAATTCCTAGAATTGCCTGTGGAATTTATGGAGAACTCTAGGAATTGGAGCCCTGCAAAAGAAAAAAGAAAAAGAAAAGGGGGGGGGGGAAGAGACTAGAACCACACACCTCTAGTGGCTGTTACTTGTGAGACCCAACTGATAAAATCATTCACATTATATGACATACTTCCTTTTGTCTATTCTGAATACATTGCCAATTAGCATCTTCAGGTAATCTTGAAGTCTAACACTGTTGCTTTTTCCTGCACTGAAGGTCTGTTAAATATTTTAGTTGCCCCTTTACACAACTTTTCTGGTCCTATGATATTTTTTCTAACTTAAGACAGAAAAACTACAGTATAGACAACAACCCAAATGTTGTCATAACTAAAATCATTCCATTACTGGTTACTTTGTACAATCCTCTTTGCTAATAACATGAAGCATGAATATTACTACTGCATGCAAAGACCATGCTTTCACTTATATAACCACTCATAACCCCAAATATCTTTCCTAGTCAGTCACTGCTAGTATTGTGAAATTAAGATACTTATTTTAATCAATGAGCATCGTTTTACAGCTGCACTGAACCTCATTTTTCTCCTCTGCCCTGCACAAAGCATGGTTTATTAGATTTATGCAACAGCTAGAAAAGACATTAAATTCATGCAATAAAGGAAAAAATGATAAAAAAGTTAAAATCTTTAGAAGGTCACTACTGCTGATGCAGAAAAGTCTACGAGAAACTCCAGAGAACATGGGAAAAGAGAAAATATGTTTTTTTTTTACTGTCGGTGAACTCTAACAAATAACAACTTAGAGTTTTGGAAGTTCTTATGATGTGGATACTTTGGAACAAGTTCATGGAAGAAGTCCTCAACAGTAGATTAGACTATCTGGGAAGGTGGGGAACTCTCCTTCACCAGATACTTTTAAGAAGAGGCTAGACAGTTATATGTTAAGAATGTTGCAACTGTCAATTTTCCATATAGATGGAAGGTTGGGCTCAACGTCCCTTGGGATTCTCTCTAGCTCTACATGAGTCTCCCTTTCTCTAACCTCCATAACACTTTTGATGTATCCCATTCAATTCTTCCATGGTTTTGCAGTGCAATTTTTTCCTACCTTTAAATATTTTTTTTACTCCCCATTCTTTCCCATGTGTTGTATCTGCAAAGAGATTCTTGCACATCATCATTATAGAATGGCAGAGCTGGAAGGGACCCTATGGAACACCAAGCCCAGCTCCTAACAAGGAGACACAGTGGGAAACTCTGGCTCTGCAGCCAGATGCCTAAACCAACTGAACTATCCAGCAGTTACCTTTTTATTGCACCTTCCCTGTAACTGTCATTTAGTCTTCTTCCTGTTGTTCAACATTTAAACCACTTTTAAAGTGTCAGTCTAAGGCAATCCATCAACTTTAGGTGGAAAACTGAACAAGGCTACACCCGAAAACTTCCAGATCTCAGGCATATAAAGCATAAAACGGTTCCATATTTTTTCTTCCCACACACACACCTGACTTCAACCTCCGGCTTGTTGTGCCGTTCTACCACTTGGGACGAAAAGTTCTCCAGGCACAGGGCGGCCTGCAGAGTAGCACGCACAGCATTGAGATAGGGGCGGAGGGTGGCGGTCTGTAAGGAAAGAAACCAGACATGACAGGCATGACAAATTCTATCAACAAGACCAGAAGCCCAGGGTCTAGCTCGCATCCTCCTCGCTGCAAGATGGGATCACAAGGCCATCAGTAAGATCTCCAGTGAGCAGTAGCCATCGGTCCAGAAGGAGGTGCCTTTTCTCAACCCTTTTGAGGTGAGAAAAGACCCAACAGCCTCTTCCCTCGTCCGTTCCCTCGATCTGGACTGACACTACGTGAAATATCTTCACAGCCTCTCTCTCCCCGTCTCCTTCCTTTTCATGCTTGCTAACGCCTACGGACATCCCACGCAACCACCTTAACATCCTCTCTTCCTCTTTGAACCAGCCTCACCTTCCCAACCTTGGCTCTGCCCTGCTGGACACATCCTGCTCTTCCCGCAACCTCCCCCCAAAAAACCCAGCTTGAACGTCTGGGCCTTCTCTCCTCCCTTCCTAACTCGGCCCAAAGACGTCCCCTCGCAACAGCCGCCTTCCCCCGCCGCCGCCGCCCCAACCCCCTCACCATTGCAGCAAAAGCAGTTGCGGCGACAGCCTCAGAGCTTGGTCCCGAGAGCGGAAACGGAAGCTGCCGCCGCCAAAGGAAAATAGATCCTCCACTTCCGGAAAATATGGACTGATCCAAAGGGCCCTGGAATGGGGGGGACAATATCCTGCCATAGGTGCTTCTACTCCGTCCCAGTTAATACAAAAGAGAGAGAAAGCTTTCCAAGTAAAACACCGAAAGGATTGCAATCATTCTCGTGCACGGACTTGGTTTCTCTAATCTGCTCCTGCCAGCCACCACCCCCTCCATTTCTGAGTTGGTACAACCCAGCCTCCCTGCCTCCATATTTGGGAACAAGAGAGCCCGTGGGCGGGACCTAAGAAACCGCAACCAATTAGCGGGAGAATAAGGTGGTGGGGAGAAGAAGAAGAAGAAGAAAAACCCGAACTTGCGCCACCCACAGAACCTGGCGCTCAGCCAATAGAGGCGGGGCAAGAGCGAGGGGCGTTAAGCCAATGGGAGGGCGCGGCTCCTTCTGAAGGGAGAGGCCGGAAGGGAATTCTGTGGAACTGGAGGAAGCGGTCGGCGGGCGAGCTCATTTTTGTATATCCCCCCCCCCATTTTTTCCGTGGTCGTCGAGTGGCCCGTCTGCTCGCGCTCTCTCAGCGGCGTGGGGGGGAGGGGGGTGCTTCCCTTCCCCGCGCGCTCACGGTGGGTGTAACCCGGAAGGTGCCCCTGGAACCGGAAACAGCCCCAGTGATTTTTTTCCCCCTCCTCCTTCCAGCGCCCCCTCCTGGCACAATCCCTCTCCCCGTCCCCCCTTTTTTTTCATTCATCTCTTTCTTGGTCGTGGACAATCCTCAGTGTTTCCACCTCTTCATTTTTTTCCTTCCTAAAAGCAGCTGCCTCCCCACCTCCTCCCGAGGTCCGTCCTTTTTTTCCCCCCTCGTTTCGTGTTCCCTTGTTGGTAAAGCTGGCTAACCCTGTAAAGCCAGTCCCCGCAAATGCCCCTGTCGATGTGCTCCATTCATATCTGCCTCCAACCCTCTTCTCTTGCATCCCGTGTCTTCTCTTTCCTTTTGTCACATAGCAGCTTCATCGTTCCCATCCCTTTTAAACCCAGCTGTTGCTCCTCGGTACTGGATGCCTTTGTCTTGTTCTTCATTTCAGTAAGACCTGCATTAATATTTTTGCAAGTTTCTTTACTTTGATCAGCTCTCTTGTCTCTCTTTTTTTAATTAGTAAGACCTCTTCTGGGCTAATTTGTCTGATTTCTACTTAATCTCAGCCCATCCCTGGGTAGTTGTCACTTTTCCATTTAACTATCTTGGGCAGGCATTGTATTTCTTTTGCTTGCATCTGTTACACCTGGCATTTGTGTTGCTTTTCCTTTCCACAGACCCAGTTGCATCATGTCTGAGCTAAAGGACTGTCCTCTTCAGTTCCATGATTTTAAGTCTGTGGATCACCTCAAGGTGTGCCCCCGCTACACAGCTGTACTGGCCCGTTCTGAAGATGATGGTATTGGTATTGAAGAACTGGACACCTTGCAACTGGAGCTTGAAACACTGCTGTCTTCTGCTAGTCGCCGACTTCGAGTGTTGGAGACCGAGACTCAGGTTAGATGGTAATCTGTAATAATAATTTTAGAACTGCAGAGCTGGAAGTGACCCTATGGGTCACTGAGTCCAGCCCCTGTCAAGGAGACACATTGGGGAATTGAACTCTCAACCTCTGGCTTCGTCAGCTATCCAGCAGTTCTGAATGGGAATGCTTTAGCTTATGTTTTCTGGATAACTTTCCCTCCTGTGAGACAAACAATTGATAAAGCAGGAATTGTTCCTACAGAAGTCAAGGGTCAGGCAAGATTTTCTATTAATTTTATAGGCCTGACACATAGATGGCGCAGCCCATGTAGTCTTGTGGTCACATCTACTAGCTGTGTGTGGTCAGCTGGGAAGCCATTATGGATTGAAATACTTAACTCATGTAGATCTTGAAAGATCAATCAGATGCATAGGGTTGGGGGGGAATCTGATTAAATAATGCCTTTACATTTTCTGTGGGAAGTATGGCTCCTCATTTCGGTGCAGTGGCAATCCCAGTTTTTCTTGCCTCTGCTGCAACAGCTCACTGTCCTGGACACTGTGGTGAAAATGTCCTGCCTGGTCTACTCCATTCTATGCATGTGTCTTGCATACTGTCCACAAAGCACCCTGAGCTACTCGATTGAAAATATGGGCCATGCACTGCACCTGTTTCATCTTTTCAGCTTGTGTGACTGCATCCATGTTTGCCCATCATCTGTGACAAACAGATGTCACTTTTAAAATATATCACCTGTGCCCTGTCCAGCTACTGCTGTGCCAGTTGTCTGACACAGCAATATAAATCTGGCACCACCCTGTTGCAAAGGGTTGTTCGGGATAGCGATTGGTAATGGGGTGCCAGTTCTGCCATAAACTTGTGGAAACCAGTGTTCTTTTGAGTATTCACGAGAGAGAATGGCTGGTCATCTAGGGCTATCATCTCCCCTAGACACCCAAGTAATCCCGGCATTTTTACATTTGCAAATCACCTTTTCCTGCTCTTCCAAGGTATCCTGGAACTTATTCTTGGTATGGGCCTGGCATTTGCTGCCTCCCACTTGTTGTTATTTGCCCATCTACCTCTCTGCTTCCCTGGGCTGATGGCTAAACTTCTGCCCTCTGATGCCATTGGAGCATGTCTGTAGTTCACTCATACCTGTCTCACTTTGAAGCAGAGGCTTCTCTGCCACATTAGCACATTTTCCCTTCCCCCTCTCCTATTCCTCCTAGTAGAAGCTCAGTAGAAGGCATTCCAGCAGCCTTCCCCAAGTGCCTGCTTCCATCACACCCACATTTCATGCTGCCTGCTGACTCCACCCAAATAACTGTATCTGATTTTGCTACAGCAGAACACAAACCTTCTAATGAAAACCACACAAGCACACATGCAGACACAACATCTATTAACTTAATACAGCTGCCTACATATAACTAAATCTTACTTTCCTACCTGATATACCCCAACAGGGGTTAAACCTAATATTTCCCTGTTGGTTTATAATGTATTAATCTATGAATCTACAAATCCTAAATCTTATTCCTAAGTTTATTAAGTTAGCAATATACAATGAGATGTAGAGAATGAAAATATAAGTTGAGTATTAAGAAAAAGACTTAGAGGAAACTGCTGCAGTGCAGGCTTTCAGTGGAGCATTTCCTAACAGCAAGTGTTCAGAGGATTTATAAGCGGCTATGCCTACCTTTCACAAGGGATGCGGTGGCGCTGCGGGTTAAACCGCAGAAGCCTCTCTGCTACAAGGTCAGAAGACCAGTTGTCGTAAGATTGAATCCATGCGATGGAGTGAGCTCCTGTCGCTTGTCCCAGCTGATGCCAACTTAGCAGTTTGAAAGCATGTAAAAATGTGAGTAGATAAATAGGTACCACCTAAGTGGGCAGGTAACAGCATTCCCTGTCTAGTCGCGCTGGCCACATGGCCATGGAAATTGTTTTTGGATAAACACTGTCTCTGCAGCTTGGAAACGGGGATGAACACCGCACCATAGAGTCGGACACGAGTGGACTAAATGTCAAGGGAAACCTTTATGCCTACCTTTCAGTTGGAAAGAATCAATGTGGAAAAAAAATACTTTCTGGTGTCCATGCCTTCTTCTAGATTTCATGGGTGCGGACAGACATTATTGACAGGTTTTACTCTATGCCCACCCCCCTCCCTGTGGAAACCCATGACAACCCCAATCAGGAGTCACTGAGTTCTCTGCCTGCTGCCATTGGTGCCAAAGTGTCCTTAAGTTTCATTCCCTAAGAAATCACTCCAGGATGCCTGAGGAATGAGTTTCATTTTTAGTTTTTCCCTTAGCAAGCATAAACCTAGCTTTTTCGTTTCTGACCTATGGGAATAAATAGGATTTCAAATATTAAGAATTATTATTACAGTTACTTCGAACTATTGGATTTAGATTTGGAAAAATTCAGGACTATCCAAATGTGACATTATGTGGTGAATAAAATAATTCCAAAACCAAATGTGCATCCTTAGTGAAAAAGCCTCAAACCAATACTTTCCATGTGCCTGCTAAGCTCCTCTGATCCCGTCTCTATAAATGTATAGAAATTAATAAGGCAGTCTCTCAAGAGGTTCGGTGTAACATAGGCTGAGAAGATGATGCTTCTTGATGTGAATTGGACCTTGTGAGGTGTTAAACAGCAATCACCCACCCATATTTTGGGAACCTTATTTTAGCACCCTGATGTTTTCATTTTCCCCTTAAGTAGTGGGCGCCAAGGATTCTTGCCATAGTTCTAGAGCAGTGATCATCTTGGACAAATCTTCTGGTTTTATTTCTTTTCCCAGATTCTGACAGACTGGCAAGACAAGAAAGGAGACAGGCGGTTTTTGAAGCTGGGCAAGGAGCATGAAGTGGGCACTCCTATTAAACATGGCAAGCCTAAGAAGCAGAAGCTGGAAGGGAAAGGAGGCCACAGCACTGGGCAGGGACCTGGCCGGCCCAAATCCAAGAACTTACAACCGAAAATCCAAGAATATGAATTTCCAGATGACCCAATTGATGTGCCCCGTATTCCTAAAAATGATGCTCCCAATAGGTACGTAGGAGAAAGAGTTCCATGGTCCTATTTATGTTCTTGTGCTCATAGGCAACCATCGTATTGTGAAATGTGTACATTCTCTCTGCAGTCCTTACAGTAAGGTTGAACCAATATTATTCTTGGGCTACGTGCGATCCAGAGTCGAGTTCAATGTGACCCTCAGACTAGTTTTGAAAGCTCCCCCCCCACACACACCATGTCCAACCTGTTCTAACTTCTGATAAGAGGGATCTATCCCTCTTCCAATAGTTCATTGGGGGAAGAGACAGAGAGAGAAAAAGATGTCAGAAATGGACAAAAGGACAGGCCTCACCCACATTTGGCTTTAGCCTTCCTCACGGTTTGTTCATGACACTGAATGTATTACTCCTGAGAGTCTATGTCCCTTGTGTATTCTCTTGGGACCTGCTTATATCCAGAGCTACTTCAGTATAACACACCTTAATTTTGGGTTTACCTTGAGGGAAAAAAATAAGACAAGGGAGCAGGAATATGTGTATCACTTTATAGAACAAACCATCCTTCTTGAATTTCTAGTGTGCAAGGGTGTCAAACATAGACCCTCATCCTCACCATCTTGGAGAGGTTAGTTAGCTGGGATGATCAATATCCTGTGGTTATCATTATTCACAGGTCTGTTTAAATGACTTTTATCCCACCTTCCTCCAGGACTGGGACTCTCACAAGAAACTTAAAAACAGGTGCAGTACGACCCCTGCATCCGTGGGATTGTTATCTGCAGTTTCACTTATCCATGGTTTGAAAATATTGAAAATATTAAATTAAAGAATGATGTCATTACTACAACCGGCTACTAGATGCAGCCCGAGACAAAGCTATCTATAAGGTCCGTTATTCAGTTTTTTCAGTATCTGCGGCGGCTTGGAACCAATCCCTTGTGGATATCTAGATCTTCCTGATAAAGGCAGGTAGAGATGAAAACAGACAAAAAACTAAACCATAATTAAATGGATCATAATTTTAAAAGGAGTAGAGTGAAGAAGCTGTTTATAAACGACTTTAAAAGATATTTCTCTGCAATTTTTTTAAAACCTTTTTTTCTCAGGAGCCAGTCAGTTGCTCAAAGTTTGTCTGAAGAGAAGTGTCTGGGCCTGCTGGCAGGAGGACAGTGGTGAAGGGGCAGCCTAGCTTTCCTTGGCAGGGCCTTCTACCTCTGGAAGCAGCCACTCAATGTTTGCAGCGCGTGAAGAGAACAGGCACTTATAAGCAACTCTGCCTTTCCCCATGGCCTCTCGATGTGCCCACCAAACCTTAATAAAGTCTCGTTGCCTTTCCGAGCAAATAAGTCCTGCCTACAGTTTTGCTGGCTTTTCAGTGCTGCTGTGTTGTGTTTTTTTGGTTTCAGATTCTGGGCCTCTGTGGAGCCATATTGTTCTGACCTCACTAACGAGGAACTACGTACTCTAGAAGAGCTCCTCAAGCCCCCGGAAGACGAAGCTGAACACTACAAGGTAAAAAAGGATCGTGATAGAAACCAGTGTCCCCTGCTGACAGTTCCGGGCTTGGGTTTCTTGCTTCCCACCTCCCAGCCATTTTGTGTAACTGTGGCTGTGTTTCTTTGATGCTTTTGTGACTGGGGGATGGAATGTCCCCCAAAGTTGCTAAGCTGTTGGATGTTTCTGCAGTAGTAGAGCACACTCTCCTGGAACATCACAGCTGCTTCTGGGAGGAGCTGCTACCCATTCTTCTTCATTCTCATAGGTGCTGGAGGGCTTGCTTAATTGCCTTTCCTTGGGCCAATCATAATGGCACGATGTAACCATTGTCCTATCTGAACTCTGCAAACTATCTGTATACAAGTTCTTGCTCATCCTTTGCTCAACTTCCAGGCTTGGCTGCCACTAGACATGGAGCTGTTGTCAGACTGGGCATGTGGCTTGTTGTTGTTGTTGTTTAGTCATTAAGTCGTGTCCGACTCTTCGTGATCCCATGGACCAGAGCACGCCAGGCCCTCCTGTCGTCCACTACCTCCCGGAGTTTGGTCAAATTCATGTTGGTAGCTTTGATGACACTCTCCATCCATCTCATCCTCTGTCGTCCCCTTCTCCTCTTGCCTTCACACTTTTCTAACATCAAGGTCTTTTCCAGGGTGTCCTCTCTTCTCATGAGATGGCCAAAGTATTGGAGCCTCAGCTTCAGGATCTGTCCTTCCAGTGAGCACTCAGGGTTGACTTCTTTCAAAATGGTTAGGTTTGTTCTTCTTGCAGTCCAGGGGACTCTCAAGAACCTCCTCCAGCACCACAATTCAAAAGCATCAATTCTTCGGTGTTCAGCTTTCTTTATGGTCCAGCTCTCATTTCCATACATTGCTACTGGAAAAACCATACCTTTGACTATTTGGGCCTTTGTCGGCAAGTTGATGTCTCTGCTTTTTAGGATGCTGTCTAGGTTTTTCATTGCTTTCCTCCCAAGAAGCAGGCATGTCTTAATTTCGTGGCTGCTGTCACCATCTGCAGTGATCATGGAGCCCAAGAAAGTAAAATCTGTCACTGCCTCCATATCTTCCCCTTCTATTTCCCAGGAAGTGATGGGACCAGTGGCCATGATCTTAGTTTTTTTGATGATGAGTTTAAGACCGTTTTTTGCACTCTCCTCTTTCACCCTCATTACAAGGTTCTTTAATTCCTCCTCACTTTCTGCCATCAGAGTGCTCTGGTAGTGCTGTCCTCTGAAGATGCCCATGGCCACAGAGACTGGCAAAACATTAGGAAGAACAACCTTCAGAACATGGCCAAAGAGCCCGAAAAACCCACAACAACTATTAGATCCTGGTCATGAAAGCCTTCGCAAATCCATTAAATAGTTCAAATGGAATGCCATCACCTCCACTGGCCTTGTTGTTAGCGATGCTTTCTAAGGCCCACTTGACTTCACTCTCCAGAATGTCTGGCTCAAAATCAGCAGCCACACTATCTGGATAACGTAGATAAGATGAAGATAAGCTTCTGGTTTTTTTTTAGCACCTCAGTACTGCATCACTTCCACTGTCCTTGTTGTCAGCCATGCTTTCTAAGGCCCACTGGACTTCACTCTCCAGAATATCTGGCTCAAAGTCAGCAGCCACACTATCTGGATAACATAGATAAGATGAAGATAAGCTTCTGTTTTTTTAGCACTTCAGTACTGTATTTTTTTTCTCCCCTCAGCTAGTCATTTTATCTCAGTTTCTTAATGTGTTGCACTATATTTACTTTCTCTTCTTGATATTTTTCTGTGTTAGTTTATCTTCTGCTATTTTATCATTAATTTGTTCTGATCTTCGGTTTATTTTTTTCTCCCCTCAGCTAGTCATTTTATCTTGGTTTCTTAATGTGTTGCACTATACAGTATTTACTTTCTCTTCTTGATATTTTTCTGTGTTAGTTTATCTTCTGCTATTTTATCATTAATTTGTTCTGATCTTCGGTTTTATGTTCTTCAGCATACTGAGAACTATGCAGTTAAGAGGGGTGGATTATGTCACAATAAATTAAAACCCTTCTTCTTTTCTATTTTATTCTTTGCTTTTTTTTCACTGTCTGGTGGGATGGGAGTGCTGGGATGGCTTGTAGAACCACAAAAACATTGAGTAAGGGATCTTAGAGGTCAGACTGGGTTCAGACACCACCTTGGCCTGTTAAGATTTTAAACACTTTCAGACATTTTGTTAGTTTTGATAACTCAAAATGTTTTCTAAAAGTTGTTGTTTAGAGTAGGAGTGGGCAACTTTGGAAAGACTTTGGCCAGATTTTTGCCTCATGGACATATCCTGGGCCACACAGGAGGCCCCCATGTAATTAGAAATTGCTGAATATGAAAGAAAGAAGAACACACAGAAGTGTCTGGACAGCTACTTCCATTTTTTTTTTCTGGACCCACCCCCACCCTGAGTGAAAATAGCCACAAAAATAGGACAGCACTGGCTTTTATTCTTTGCACCGGCTGGCAGGAAGTTCGTTCTTGCATGCCACAAAAACGTGGCCCACAGTGGTCTTCCTCTCATTTAAGTGTCTGAGAGCTGAAATCTACCGGGTAACTGATTCTCACTTAAGCCGAACAGGCCCAGGTTGAAATGGAGCTGGTGAAATTTGCTAGTAATAAACATTTAAAAAGAATTACCATTATTTTGGTAATCTAGCAAGATGAGAGTGGAGCAGCCCCAGTTCTCTTTTATAAAGCAGGTCCTGTGAGCCTGTCTTAGCATGTTGGTAAAATTAAAGGCACTTTAAAAAATAGTGTGGGTTCTTTAATTAGTAACAGATGTGTTTCTGTGTGAGTTTTGATAGATCAAACTCTACTTTTTCAGACACAAAGCGTATGCTGAATAGACCTCAGACTCTACTGCCATGCATGACATGCTGGCTTTTTTCAGCAGGTCGTTCTTACCTCCACACCCATTTTGTACCTGTCTCTCATTTGAGCACCGGCTGGCCATCCAGACAGCGACTGCTCTCTTTGGAGGCAAGAGAGCATTGTTCTGCATGCAGAGAGAACAACCTTCCTTCTACCCATTATCACTGCTTTGAGTGACCTGGCCATTTTAGTTGCTTGGAACAAGCTGAGGAGAATATCACAGCAGGCAGGAAAGGGAAGGTGCTGGACCTATTGAGGGAATAATTCACATACTGTATTTGGAATAGAAAGAAATTCAAACGTAGATAGAACTGAAGCTGAGAGATTTGTCCCTTCAGGCCTAGGGCTTTCAGTGTTCATTCTTCAAAGTTTGGGTGTGGATCACTGAGTATGCAACTACATTAATCTTGAATAACAGTTACTGCTATTTTATGGTGAGAGGCTTCTCTGCTGTAACATCTGGCAAGCAGATAACAACGCATTCCTCGTTATCTAGGGATAATGAGTCCTGTTTAATTTAGCCAGAGCACATGAGCGAGGATTTCATTTCGAGTCATTTTTTTTAAAAAAAGAGAATTCCTGAAATAATAGGATAGAACAAACTTGAGGAATAAAATGTTAAAATGCGGAGGGGGCAGGGAAAGCAAAACTGACATATTTTTTCTCCTTTCATTATTTTGTTCAGTTGAAACAGAGGAAGCATAAAGGGAGATGAAAGGAGAGAAAAAAAGCAAGAGATCCATTGGTGTGATCCACGTTACAGCTGGATCTTAAAAAAGAGGAGCACAATATAGTCCTAATAAGGACTGAGGCAGAATTGGGACCTTGTCTTGAATGCTCTGCTCACCTTCTGAACTGTTGCACATTAATTCAGTGTTGTTCTGCCTTTCTAGATCCCACCCCTGGGGAAGCATTACTCCCAACGCTGGGCCCAGGAAGACATGTTAGAGGAGCAGAAGGATGGGGCTCGGGCTGCAGCTACTGCTGACAAGAAGAAGGGCATTTTGGCAGAACTGGATACAAAAGGTATCTCCCGCTTCTCCATGGAATTGCTTTCAGAGTAGACAAACCAAAAGCGAGTTCCATCTTTTTCTGTAGCTCACCGATCCAGCCCATGCTTTATATCGGGAAAGGCCACCAGAGTTGCAGTTCAACTTCTGATGGGCCTCTCTTTCCCACCCTTGCTTTTTGTAAGTGAGGCTACATGTTTAAATCTCCAGTTATGCATTTTGAGATATAAAAGGTTAGGAATGGAGATGTATTGGCTGGTGGCTCCTAAAAGCATGAGCAGAGAACCTGTGGCCACCCACTGCCACTCCCATCTGCGCTAGTAGGCATAAACTGGAGAGAGATTATGGGAATTGCCGTACAAGAGCCTCTGGGGAAGCAAACACTGTTGGTTTTTTTGCTGCTGCGCTTGCTCAGCTTTGCCTGAAAGACTGACCGTGCTCAAATTGATGGAAGACTTTTCCTTTATCACGCGCCCAGGGGGTTCGCTTCCTTCACCTTGAAGTAGTGTGATCAGAATTCCCAGTTCTCCTACCATATAACTCGCGAGCATGGCTGGCCATTTTCTTTAGTGTTGCCATTTCGTCAAATGCCGCCATGCTTTTCTACCCTAGTGCTTCATTCCCTTCTCTCCAGATGTTGATGCTTTGCTGAAGAAGTCGGAATCCCAGCACGAACAGCCTGAGGATGGCTGCCCCTTTGGACCTCTGACCCAGCGTCTCCTGCAGGCGCTTGTAGAAGTAAGCATTGGATATGCAGGTCTAGTTGGGTCTGGTTTCTCAGAGGCAGGGTAAAAATATCAGTCTTTCTAAGCTGGGGTAGGCAGTTTTGGATCCTGGAGATACTTTGGACCTCCCAGCATTTCTGACCATGGGCAATGAGGTTTGAAACCCCTATAGGAGGGCAGCAGGTGGCTGCTTTCATCCCTAAGCCTCTCCTTTCCTCCTCACTGTGTAGGAGAACATAATCTCCCCTATTGATGATTCACCGATCCCTGAGATAGCAGGCAAGGATTCTACAGCGGATGGTGCCAGCACATCCCCTCGCAGCCAGAACAAGCCCTTCAGGTGAGCCTCCGTTTGTGTTTGCAGTGAATGAAATCAGTCTTTTGTCCGTTTATCACTTTATTTTTGAAAAATTCCCCGCATGGTATCTTGGGGTAGGGCGAGGCGTGTCTAAGACTGACCACATCGAGTGCTGAGCTTTGCCATCGGGTTGCTTCTCTTGACTTCCTTTCTCTAGCGTGCCCCACACCAAGTCTCTGGAAGGACGTATCAAAGAAGAATTGATTGCTCAAGGCCTGCTCGAGTCAGAGGACCGGCCTGCGGAGGACTCGGAGGATGAAGTGTTAGCTGAACTGCGGAAGAGGCAGGCTGAGCTGAAAGCCCTGAGCATGCACAACCGGAACAAAAAGGCTGAGTTGCTCAGGTGAGATTATGGAAAGGGAGAGGGTTCAGTAGCTTTAATGTATTCGCTTTCTTGCCCTCAGTCGGAGGCACTGGTCAAAATCCTGTTACTTTACATAGTAAATTGCCACTATAATAGACTGTTGAATCAATGGGGATTTAGTGGCTCAATTCCTCTGTGGTTTCCATATATATACACACACAGTGATGCCTCGCTTAACGAGCGCACCGTTTAACGAAGAATCCGCATAGTGATGCGTTTTTTGCGATCGCTAATGCGATCGCATTGCGACGTTTTGAATGGCAAAACATTGCATTGCAGTGATCGGTAAGTGTTTCGCTTACCGATCTTTGCATTGCGATGTTCTAAAAACAGCTGATTGGCGGTTCCAAAATGGCCGCCGGAAGAAAAAATGGCCACCCGCTCCGTTTTCGCGCCCTGCCCTCGTTTACCGGGCGGCAAAAATGGCAGCCGGATGGGAGAATCTTCGCATAGCGGTGAATTTTCGGCCCATAGGAACGCATTAAATGGAGTTTAATGTGTTCCTATGGGTTTTCCCCCCCCGCATAGCAACGAATTCGACGAATCCTGGAACGGATTAACGTCGCTATGCGGGGCACCACTGTGTGTGTGTGTGTGTGTGTGTGTATACATACACACATACACACACACATACATATACAATATATATATACAGTATATATATACAAATAGGTGTGTGTATATATGTACATATACGTGTGTGTGTGTGTGTGTGTGTGAGACCACTGAAAAAAATTGGTATAACTCGGGTTCTTTTTGCACATATATGTGTGTGACCGCTGAAAAAAAATTGGCAGGAATGTTTACATTGTTTTGAACTGCATCACTACATTTCTTTTGATTTGAACCTATAGCAGACTGCAGTGCTGTTGACTTTTGTGTCAAATCATTTTCTCTACTGAAAAGGATAAAAAGCTGATCCCACAGCTACAAATACTCAACTATCCCACACACTATGCCAGAACACAGACAGAGTTCCTACTCCAGTCCTCTGAAGATGCCTGCCACAGAGACTGGTGAAATGTTAGGAAGAACAACCTTCAGAACACAGCCAAACAGCCCGAAAAACCTACAACCACCATCAGATCCTGGCTGTGAAAGCCTTCGATAATACATTTTCTCTACTGTTTCTTGGGACAACCAGCCTTCCCCTTGTCCACTTTTTTTAAAAAAACTGCAGAATTGATATATTGATAAAATGGTATAAGCTTTCTCGTCCTCCCCTTTTCCTTTTCCTCCTTTATTCACTTGTCCCCTTATTTCCCTGAATATTCCCTGAATTTCCCTCTCAGTTCTCAGCTTTCATTTTTCTTTTCCCTTTTGAACTGCAGCGAGAAGAGCAAGTAGGTTTAACAAGACTTGCAAAGTATTGTGAAGAGTACGGTTAAAAAAAAAGAGAGAGAGAGAGAGGATATGTTAATGCAACTCTTTTTTTACAGTTCAAAGAAGGAAATGTCCCTTTCTCTGTTCAAGCCCTCTTTCACCTGTAGGAGGGCAGTGAAGCTGTCTCATTCTGAGCAATGTATTTATGCCTGCGGTGATTGCTATTAGCAATTTATTGATATCCCTTTAGGTTTTTTTAAGGGTACAAGTGCAGAGCTCATGAAGTAGGCAACTCTCCCAAAAACCCAACCCTTTCACAAAGGAAATAAGTCAACGGTAACATTCGCATGTGCTGAAACAATACATGATCGGTACATTTCTTGGCAAGGATTAAATAAACTGATTGCTGAGGCAAATTAATCAATGTTAGCCATGTGTTGTGTGGATGGAAAAATTTTGAAACTATCCAAATTATGACAAGAACTGTATAACCAGGGTTTTGTCCTGTTACGTTTTTAGGAGGGCCAAGGATGAGATGAATCGACAGGAGCTGCGGCAACGGGTCCGAATGGCGGATAATGAAGTCATGGATGCGTTCCGCAAGATAATGGCAGCACGACAGAAGAAGCGCACCCCAACAAAGAAGGAGAAAGACCAGGCTTGGAAGAGCCTGAAGGAGCGTGAAAGCATCCTGAAACTGCTTGATTGCTAATACTGGCCTTTGGGTGCAAAACATTTGTCTACGTTCCTACGTTTGAACTTCAGCCTCTGTAGGGCCTGGCTTAAGGGAGGAGTCTGCTGAAAACTTAAGACTATAGCCGCTCCTTTCATTGGCTTACCAGCATCCTGTCTGGCCATTTTGTAGCCAGGGATCCATTGAGGCTGGGCCTTGGCAGCATCCCACCTCTTCTTGGGCATTGCTGTGACATGGGGGGGGGCCTGGATCACTAAAGGTGGCAGTCCCTCTTTGATATTCATAGGGCCCATCTCGCTGTGTCCAGGCAATGGAGGCAGCCTGCCTTGGATTGTGGCATAACACACCAGCTTTCACAGCCCATCTGTAGCATAAAATGGGGGTTGCTCTTGAGGGGTGGCTTGGATTTACTTACTTCTTACCTTTTGTTTTGCTTCCTGTGAACAATCAGAAGCTATAGGCACAATGAATGTCCTATCTGGGAGGGGAAAAAAATCCCTAAGTGCCTGAATGATATGTACTTGGGGAACTGTTTATTGACATTTTTGTGCACTTCTGGGAGCAGGCTTGAGTTAAAATGGCCAGTGAAACATGGGTGCTTGCACTTTCCCATAGGTGGTCCAAGTAGGAATGTTTAGTGTCCAGCTCTGAACACAAGAGGGAAATACTGTATGTGTCTTCTGTTGAACCTTCCCCAGTGGCAGTCCAAATAGTGCCAAAGGTGGGACTGCTGCCTTGTGGCTGGAGGCGTTTCTGAGCCTGGGAGGCAGCCCCAGACGCTTCCCACCTTGTTTTCTGTTCTACTCAGCTCTTTATATGGTGATCATGGTGGACCACATGCTTTTTCTTTTGCCTGACTGAATTATCGTCAGCCTCTGTGTAACCAAGTGTAGGAACGCCATTTGATTCTTGATGGAAAAATGTGGCTAAGCTGAGGATAACACTCAGCAGGGCATATGTCAGAAGGTGGCCAAGACAGAGGTGGTTGTTTTGGTGAGATGAACCGAGTGACTTGACATCACCTCCATCTTTGCATGCAGACTGGTAGCAGAATTATAAGGAGCCTGGAATCATTTGTGAGGATAACAACAATTGGTAGCGAGAGTCACTTTCTAACTTTCTCCGAACTGTCTTTTACTCCTGGGCTCACAGAAGCACTATTTCCTGGCCTAAGCCCCATGACAGTGGTGTTTGGGGAGAGGGGGAGAACAGCAGCTCCCTTTTGGACAAAGAAGCAGGTAGGATCCCCAAACCCCATCCTCCTGGCCAGTGTGATAACACCTCCGATCTTCAAACAGGAAGAACAAAGCTCGGCTCGGTGGCCCAAAGGGGCTTCCAGTGGGTTGAATCAATAGAGAGAATCCACAAATCTCCTAGCAACATATCAGGCCAAGATGTATAAACATTTTATAGCTGGAGGTAATGGGAAGGGAAGACAGGCAGGTAAGCACGTGTTGTAAGCCAGATGTTCCTGATGTTGGGTTACAGCTCCCACAGTTCTGCGCCCTTTAATAAGCTAGTTAGTGCCAATGAAAGATACAGTTCAACCACATCTGGAGGGCCACTTGTTAGCTAACTCCCTGCAGTAGGTCAGGCATAGCACAAGGGGCCTTGATTGTACAGGCGTTACAGCCACCGCAGCAGGTCAATCACATGGTGTTCGGAACAGTTCTGGTTGGCTCCTGCCTTTGTCCCAGACACATTCTGCCTGCGGCACCTTCACCCCTACCAGTCTTCCCACCTTTTCAATGTTTGACTCCACACTGACAAGACAGCTAGAACAGTGCATTTTCTTTTTTCTTCTTTTCTTTTTTTAAAAAACCATTCAGGCCTCTTTTTTTCTATTCCTCACACACCAGCATGTTTCCGAGCTGCTCTGTTGTGCCTGTTCAGCAGATGGATAAATGCTTCCTAGGCTTCTACTTAAAATGGAAGTGACTTTGGGGACACCCAGAAAATAGAAGCAAGTGTGTATTGGGGAGAGGAGTACAGAAACCTAGGAGGAGAAGCTGGCCTTTGGGAAAGGAACATATTAGTTCTTCACATGCTGTGGTCTGTTGTAGATTTGCAACAACTGAGCACCTCGGTAGAATTCTCCCAGAGTGTCAATAAACCCATAACTACAAGAATGATGTTAATGGTGCGTTTTTTGATAATATTTTTTAATCCTCTGGAAAAGGCTCAAGCGGGCATTCAAAGGATAGCCTACCAGACAATGCTTTCCTATGTAAATTGCATGCCCTTTGCTACACAAGACTTCTAAGTTTTCAAGACAAGCTGATTTTGGCTTGATATGGCTTTCTGCCAAGCAAATTTTAATAATGAATCAATGCACAAGAAATGTCAACTTTTCTTGTGTTCTGTCAAGAGACAGGTAGTGGGAGAGAGATGAGAAAGGTAAGGAGTGCAGTAAGTAAGATTTATTTGCATAGTAGAAAGAGCAAATGAAGATTAAGGCACAGCAGAGCACTCTTCCATGGTTCATGAAGCTAATGTTTTTGTTATTGGCAATGTGTAGGAGAGTAGAAAAGAAGAAATGTTCCAAAAATTAGTTCCTGTGGCTAAGAGACCATTAATGTGGAATGAGTTGGGCTAATGGAGCATGTTTTTTAATGCATTTCATCTTGCATGCTTTCACCTTGGGTATAGAAGGAGGGGGGAAATGTTGCTGGAAGCTCCCTATACACAACTGAAAAGCAGTGGGAAAACGTTTTCAGAACTGTGCAGTTTGTGCATCATAATGGTCTATCAACATAAAGTTCCATCTTGATATTTTAATACTGACAAAATTTCTTAGCCTGTGATGCTGATGATTAACAAGATGACATTTTCTGCTTTTTAGAACATTGTTCCATGCCTTCTGCCTCTCCTGTCCAGGGTTGTGTTGTTGCATCAAAAAATGGAAGATGAAGTATGATTTGTGTAGTAGTTAGAGGTTAGGTCTGGGACTATGAAATGACAGGTGCTGAATTCTGATTTCTTGGAAGATGGTGAATCAGCTTCAGCTTTAAGACCTCTAGGAGAGATCTAAAGTACTAAGCCCAGTACTCCAGATAGTTCTAGTACCTTGCACAGATCCCTCAAAGTTCAGACTAAAACCCAGAGTGCAACTCTTGCAGAATCAGAGTCCCCACCAGCTCCTCAGTGGGACGACCTAGTGAAAGTTACTTTCTATTAACCTAACTTAATGTACTGTCTTGTGAGGGTGAAGTGAAAGGAGAAAGAATCATATACATCAGGATGGGCAACTGTGGTCCTCCGGAGGTTTTGGCCTACAGTACCCAGGAGTCCTCACTGTTGGCTGTGCTGATGGGAATTGTAGGCTGGGGGAAAAAAAAAAGTACAGAAGGTCACAGTAGCTCACTGGAGATGAACTCTCTAAGCAGCTCTTTAGAAGTTCAGAATAAAAAGGCAACAGATGTCAGTGTGGGCAGCTCTCTGAGCAGTGCAATATTGATTAGATTTTGGGATCCAGTGTGTGTTGCCTTCGAGAAAGTAGGGAATGTGTGGCCCTCCAGATGTTGTTGAAACTCAGTGGTCATCATCCCTGATGATTGACTGGGTTGCTGATAGCCAGAGTCCTACAATGTCTAGGAGCCACGCCCCCCCCTCACCCCCAGTGCTTTATAATGACTGGTATGTTGCAGGGAAGCAGTTTGTTGTGAGAGAGGGCTTAATCTGAAACAGGCTTTAACCCATCCTTCCACTTTTTTGCTTCACAGGCCAGCTTCTAGTGTTTGCCCTGTTGGCTGAGGGCTGCTGCTGATCTCTTGCCAGGATTGCAGAGCTAGGTAGACCTGGATTTAGACCATGGCATTGCAAATTTCAAGCACAACTAGAGGCTGGAATTTGGGGAAGAGATAATACTTTTTCTTTTTAACAAAATAAACTCCGATGCCTATAGCTATAACTTGCCTTTTTGGCACTTGGGCAAGCAGCACAGAATACAACCCCATATCAACTTTGTAAAAAAATGATAAAGTCATACAAGAAGGAGTTGCTGGATTGTACGCTGGCAAGCATCTCCCTTCCTCTACAGGGGATCAGCAACATTGTCAGGGCTACAAAAGCAAATCAAAAGTATGTGTGTGTGAGAGAGGGAGAGAGGTGTGTATTAATATACACATTAATGTATATACAATACAGTTTTGCCATACTGTATATATTAATAAACTGACTTTTTGTGCTGTCTGGCCCACGGCCCAGCTTATCAAGCTCTGTGTAATCCTGCCATCCACTGGAGGGGGTTGGGGAGAAGTATGGTACATAGACACTTGCACCATCTCCCATTCTTGGTTCAAGGCCTGGTGTCCCATCATATGGCAGTAGATTAAGGGGCTCAATCAATCCTAGAAGTCTGGATCACTATGCCTTCACCATGAGCAGCTGGGGGAAGCGCTCTGTGTGGTCAGCCTCCTTCTGGCCACTTCCTGCTCCAGTTGGTGGAGCCCAAGGTGACCAGTGCTCAATCCAGATGCTTCCACCTCTGTATGCACTGGATGTTTGGGTCCTGTCCCCCCTCCCCCCCCAGCCATTGGGAATCACAGTGGGGGGATGTCTTTGCAAATGAGGAGGCGAGACTTGACTTCCCTGCCGCAAGTTAGGTGTCCTTATGCCACCTGACCGCCCCGGCTGCTTTTAGCTTTGCCAGATGAGGACAGACCGAGCATTGTCTGCACTCTCGCTGCCTGCTGCCCTGGGGCAAAGCTGGATGCGCTCTGCCTGGTCCCTTGAGGCAAAGCTCCGCCAGCTCTTTTTTCTCTCTGGTATCCTGGAGTAAAGCCGGCTGCCCTAGTTAGGGCTCTGCCAGTGTGTCCCTTCGGAGTGAACTAAGAGGAACCTGATCCCTGGATCCTGTAGCAGTCTGAGGATGTGCATTTTCTTAATGAAGGGCGTTCTGGAAAAGGCTTCAGAAGAGGAGGCAGGCTCGAGGTTCCCGCAGGAAGACGGTCTCCATCTAGGCTCTTCCTATGCGTGAATGCAAATTCACCTGTCGTGCTGCAGCTCTGGGGGGGGAGGGAGCGTGGTGCAGCTTCCTAGCAGAGAAAAGTTCGGGTTGCTCCTCACACGGGAAGTCCCCCCTATGCCGTCGAAGTGGCGTGTGGAGCTTTTCTAACTGTGTATCGTAACAAGGGAGCCCTGGCAAGTGGCGGCGGGAGGGAAGGCTCGGGAGCAAGGGGGGGAAAAAAACCCCGCAGAAACCAGGTTGGAGGAACAGAAAGGGCAGGATTTTCACCGCGTCGAAAAAATGCCCCCGCATTACCCCCTCGCCTCATTGCTCGGGGAGATGCGCGTATGCATGCATTTTATGAATGGGCGCGTTCCGCCGCTTCAGCCCGCCCGGCCC